CGAACGCGAACGCGAACGCGAACGCGCGCACACGCCCACGCCCACGCCCACGCACACGCACACGCGCACGACCATGCCCACGCCCACGCCCACGCCCACGCCCACGCCCACGCACACGCACACGCACACGCACACGAACGCGCACACGAACGCGCACACGCACACGCACACGCACACTCCCACGCCCACGCCCACGCCCACGCTCGCGCCCGCGCCCGCGCCCGTGCCCGCGCCCGCGCCCGCGCACGCGCACGCGAACGCGCACGCGCACGCGCACGCGCACGCGCACGCACACACTAAATAGTAACACACACAAACACAGACACACATAAACACCTGCAAACACACACGCACGCACATACACACACACACGCACACACACAGACACACACACACACACACACTCGCGCACCAATGCCGAAACATGCACAGGGAATGGATGCCCGAGCGATGGCGAGTCCCCACCTGGCCCCAAGCGGGCCCCCCTGGCGCCCTGAGGGCCCGACGCTGCCCTCCAGCACGATCCCAAGAGAGGCCCGAGCGCCTCAGCACGCAGCCCCAAACCCGCTCTGCGCAGCAGCCTCGCGCAGCAGCAGGCGGCAGCAGCACCGATTCGGCAGCGAGGCCTGGCAGGCGGCAGCGGTCGGCAGTGAATGTCGGCAAGGGGCGGCCAACTGCAGCGACTGTCAGCCAGCCACGGGGCCGCTCCGACGCTGCGGTGCCCGGACAGCCCCCTCACGTGCTGACAGTCTGCCATGGTGCGCCGTGTGGGCCGTTTCGTGACGCGAGCAAGCTCGTCCACCATTGCCGACGCCGTCGTCGCCGTCCTCTCGGGTGTGTTGCTCCGCCTTTCTGCGCCATGTCGGCGGGGCCGTGTCGCGACCAATTCTGCCCATTCGAAGGAGCGTGTTTCTTTATTGCTTGGGGCATCATGGGCATTCTAGCCCCCGGCCCCCCTTCCCCCCCTATGACGTAACGCCCCTCCCCCCCAGTGCGCTCCGGGCACTGCCGCCGTGCGCACGGCGGGGGGGAGGCGTTACATGATACCCCCCCCTCCCTGGCCCCTCCGCCCCCCCATAATGCCCATTATCGCCGAAAACACAGAAGCGCGCTCTAGGTTTTGCTGTGGTGCGCGCTGCAAGCCTCACCCTCTCATGCAGGCGTGCTGTCGTGGGCAAGCACCCTGCCAGTTCTCGGCCTTGACGCCCCGGGGCGCGCCAGGAAGCTCCCTGCCCCGAGCGCGGCTTCGGCTCCTCGCCCAAGCGGCCTCGGAGGCTCCTCCGGAGCCCCACTATCTCACCGCCCACCATGGGGGGCCCCCAAACGGGGTGGTGACCACACCGTGCGGTGAGTCGGTGGGGATTCGGGGTCACCGTGCGGTTTTGGGACTCGGGTCGTTCTCAGAGGTCGTCTCAGGCGACAGGGGCCTCCGAGGTCCCAAGACCGTGCGGTGACGGACCGTGCGGTGAGGTTTTGGGGGATGTTAAGGTCACCGCACGGTCTGTCACCGCACCGTTTCGGGACTCCAAACACCGAACCACCCCAATCCAACCCGAAGGCCCCGATGTGCCCTCAATTTCCATTCGGTGGGGGGCCGGGGAACATTGAAAAACATCAATGGAACCCATACCCCCCCAATCCGAAGTCCAGGTCTTCGAGTTGGACTGGGGTGGTCTGGTAGGCAGTCATTATCTAGAAGTGGGTGCCACGATGTCAACATCATGTGCCACCGAGATGACCCCAGCAGGCCCAAGATAGCCCATCTTAAGTCCAGAAGTGGCAGAAGTTGGCTCCAAGAGCGGTCCGAAATGGCTCCAAGATGCCCCCCACCAGGGCCCAGGAGTCCCCCAAGACGCCGTGGGAGGGCGCCAAGAAAATTTTCAGGAAGGCCCTGAGAGACCCAACTCAGAGTTTTTCGTCTGCGAAGGATTCTTGCGGTCTCGCCTACCCAGGCTTTCCACAGTCCACGTCGACCCAAGAGGCCTCGTGGATGCCCCCAAGATGGCCCAGGAAAGGCCCAAGGGGGGGTCCCAAGCGAGCCCGAAGACTGCCTGGAGGGCCGCCTAAGGTGGCCCTCACGAGGCCCCAGGCTGGCCGTCTTCAGGATCGCCCCACAGGGCCCCCAGACGGCGTCAAGACGGCCCAACGGGCCCACACATCTCCCCCAGAGGCTTCCAAGACGCCCCCAAGAGGCCCCCAAGAGACCCCAAGAGGCTTTCACATGCCTCCAAGAGGACCCCAGTGCGCCCCACGCTTCTAAGGGGCCCCCCAGAGGCCTCACCCCAGAGGCACCCGAGGGCTACGACGATATTCCGAAGATGCACACGGGAGCGCCTTCAAACGGTCGAACTGCTTTGCGAGAGGCCTCCACGATGGCCCAAGCTGCTTCCAAGATGCCCCAGTACTCTCAAGGCACGCAGCACCAGCCAGCGCCAATCAGCAGCACCCAGCACGCCAAGCCGCACCAAGTACCAACGCGCCACGGCCAACACCAGGCCGTAGCGGCGAGACATGACAGCATATCTACAGGAAGTTGTGAATACCAGCGCCACGCAGCAGCAAGCGGCAGGAAGCGGCCGGGTGCGGGCGGACGAGCAACAGACCAAGCAACCAGAGAGCAGGCGGTTCGGCCAAAAGCTGTTCACGAGGCTTATGCCAGCCCGCCGACCCAGAAACCAATCGGACCACTGGGCTGGCCACACTGGCTCGCACGGGCGTTTGGGGGGCCGCTCGGGGGCCTCTTGGGGCCTCTGGGTTGTGTTGGGCGCCAGCTGGCGGTCTCGAGGGCTTTCCCGGAGCGCTCGCTCCCTTCTCCCTCCTCCTCGTGCCGTTCCTCCTCTCCGCTGCCTGCCAGGTCTCGCGCCACCTGAAGACGAGTCTCTTGGCCCTCTTCACCGAGCAGCGGGGAGGGTTGCGCAGATTCGCGTCGCGTCGGCGCGACGGCGACACCAGCGCCGGCACCGAGGATTCAGCGCCGACACTGGTCCAGAATCGGCCGACGTGAACGACCTCGCGATTTCAAAGCTGCCGATGGTGCAGGGCTGAGCGCTCCACGCGGTGTCAAGAGCAGCAGCGCAGCTCGCCACGACACGAGCTCACCAGATCCCCTCCTCCTCCACGGAGTCGCTGCCGCGGCGCGCTCAGGCGCTCCGTAGTCCACCTACACTCTGGTCCTCCCCCCGTCCTCTCCACGAGCTGCACGAGCCGTTCGGCTTCGCCCCGAGCGGCCAAAATCATCCACTTTACGACGGTTTTGGAAGAATTTTGGCCTTCTCGCCTTTTCCGCTTTCCGACGCTCGAAGACGGCCGAAGAGGCCTCCAAGAGCGCCCCAGAACAGACCAAGAGGCCTCCAAGAGCGGCCCAAGACAGCCCAAAGAGGGCCCCAAGACGACCCAAGAGACGCTCAAGACGGCCCACGAGGGCCCGAAGACAGGCCCAAGAGGGGGCCAAGAGGGGGACCACAGACCGAAAATCCGAGCCTTCCGCCCCAAGAGGGCGCTAGGAGGCCCAAACAGGCCCCCAAGAGGCCCCAAGGGGCCGCCAAGAATCCCCCGAAGAGGCCCCAGGGGGCTCCCAAGGAGCCCAAACGAGGCCCCAACAGAGGCCCCAACAGCTTCCAAAATGGCCCCAAAGAGGCCTCGAGCCCGCCTCCGAGCTTCCTCGCCGCGAGGGTGCCAACACGGCCCCAGACGGGCCCAGGACGGCCCAAGGCGCGCTCAAGACGGCCCAAGACGACTGCCCAGGACGGCCCAAGGACGCGCCCGGTCGGGGCCTCAAGACGGGCCAAGATGGCAAGAGAGCCCCAGCTGGCAAAAATCGTTTATTTTCCGTTGGTTACTGTTCCACCTTTTGCGTTTCCCGCCATTTCGGCGGTCCGATGCACCAAGAGGCCCCAGAAAGTCCCAGGAGGGTCCGAGGAAACGCCCAGGAAGGCCCCAAGACGGGCCAATTCGGACCCAGCACAACCCAAGGCGCGCTGCGACGGCTCAACACGGCTCCAAGACAGCCCCAAGACGGTGCCAACACGGCCCCTGCTGGGCCCAGGACGGCCCAAGGAAGCGCACAGGAGGGGCCCAAGACGACTCCAAGGCGGCCCCCTCACGGTCCCAGACGGCTCCAAGACAGCCCCACGATAGTGCCAACAAGGACCCCGATGGGCCCAGGACGGCCTACGGACGCGCCCATGAGGGGCCCACGACGAACCAAGACGGCCCCATCACGGCAAACGGCGCCCTGAAGACGGGCCTAGACGGCTCCAAGACGGCCCTTTGAGGGAACCACCGCGGCCCCACACCCTTCGGGCGAACACTCGGGGTGGCTGGGAGCTTGCGACAAGTCTCCCACATTCATTGTCCTGCCCCATTCTGTTCGCCTGGAGGCCTCCTCCAACCCTGTGGGCGAACAAGAGGAAACCCAGCGGGCCGCCAACCCTGGGGCCCGTGGGCCCCGCGCCGCTTGGGCAGAAGACGAACGCCGGGTCTGACAGGCCAGCTACCGCCCCCCTTTGCCCGATATGCTGTGCCATTATGTTCCCCCAGGGGCCTTGGCAAACTCTTCGGGCCAAGCAGACCGGACCCCTGGGACAGCAGCCAATTGATATGACCCTGGGACCTCTCCGCATTCTTCGGACGAGCACCTGGGGGGCCCAGGAGATTCGGACAAGTCTTCCCCATTCCTTGCCCTGTCCCGTTCTGTTCGCCCGAAGGCCTCCACAGACTCTCTGGGCGAACAGAATGGGACATGGCGAACAAACCCTCCCGTTGGCGGTGATGCGACTGGATCGCACCATCAAGGTGTGCCCAGAGGTGATGGCCGACCCAACAGCGGTTTCTCTAAAGATTCTAGACTTTCAAATTTTCTTGAAGCTCTCTTGGGCCCTCCCTGTAGATCCTTGCGAGCCTCCCCGGCGCTTTCGGTGGCTTTCCCCGATGGCCTCCCGAGCCCTTCCCCGGGCGCTCCTGAGACGCCTCAGATGGGCTTCGACTTCGACGCACATCCCCGAGAGACTTCGAAACTGCCATCAATAGGAGGGGGGTCAACGAGCAGTGCGCTGGGCCAAGCTGCTGGAGCGCTGCAAGAGCTCGGACACGAAGGCGCGGTCTCGCTGCCGCCGCCCGAGCCGCCGCCGTGTTTGTAGATTTTCGATACAATCAGCGCCGTTCCTCCGAGAACCATTCCAGAAAGATGTCGTGGACGGAGTCCACGGGTCAGCCCTAGTCAGCTACAGCGCTGGGGTCAGCGCCTGCGAGAAGGGCGAGGAGTGGCAGCGGGCTCTGGCGCTGCTCAGCGAGATGCGCGAGGCGAACTTGGAGCCCGACGTGATCTGTACTACAACGCCTGCGGAACATACTCTCGAATTCTCCGAGCGCGTTCCACTACTCGCAAAGTGCCTACGCGCAAACGTCCGGAAACACATGCCTGCTTCGATGTAATGTATCGTAGATCCCCCGCGTAGGGTCCAGGCCATTTGCGAGTAGTTACTTTTCGTGTAGTGGAATGCGCGCGTCTACTAATTTCCAGCCTGGCCCCGCGCCGCGCCAACGTGGAACCACGACTGGCGTAAGACCAGCCCAAGACCAGCCCAAGACGGCATCAAGGCAGTCCACGAGGCCCCCAACGATGCCCCAAACCAAGACCAAGACAGGCCCAACACACCGCCAGGCCCCAAACGCCCCCACAACAACTCCCAAACAGGCCCTCAAGAGCACCATGCTGTGTGTTTCAAGTGCTTTCGCATTGGTTCATCGCTGGCCTGGGACTCCCGACGGGTACGGTCGGACCGGATCGTAAGATCGAGGTCGGTTCGGGGAGGGTACCCTAATGCTCTTTGTGCTTGTTGGATTGTCTTGTGCATCCTGGAGGAGGGTGCCCTCGAATGTTCTTCAGTTTGGGCTGGCGGAGAGTCTAATGTTCTTAAACGATGCTATCCTGTCTGAGGCCCGACCGTACAAGAAGTCCCAGACGCCTCCAAGACCAGCTCAGGACCAGCCGAACCAGGATGGCCCCATGCCGCTGCAATGCACGCACCAGGCCGGCCCCGGGGTGCCCCCAGGTTGCCCCACGGCACGTCGCGATCGGCCCAAGACCTTGGGCGGGCCCCATGCACGCCCACAGCAGCGCCCTGCAAGAGGCGCCCAACAGGCTCCCGAGAGCCTCCAACACACGACATCCTGTGCTGCTGGCCTCCTGGCCCTGCGGAGACAGGCCCCGCTGGGCCCAGGACGGCCCCCGCGATGGACGGCCCTGCCCAGACAGCCCGGCCATAGGCCCCGCGGCGGCTCCGGGTGAGCCCGGGCCAGGCGCCCATTAATAATGGGGGGCCACGTGCGAACCTACCCCCCACGATTTCTGAGGGGGAGGGTGGGGTTCACTTCGCTCGTAATGCATTAATCCCAGACATCCGGCGTCTCGATTTTTCCGAGACGCGGGCCCTGGACCTCCCGACCACTTCCCCAGGGCCGGTTTTTCGCCCCGAGTCCTTTTTTGACGGTCCCGAGGCCCGGCGAGGACCCCAAGAGGCTGAAAACGACGAAAAACCTTTGATTCGATTTTTTCGAGACGCCCGATGTCTGGGATGCTTCAGAGGGAGGCCCAGGAGCCCACGAGCCGCGTCGGAGCCGGCTCCCGGAAGGCCCACGCGATCGCCAGGACGAGCCCGATGCTCGAGGCGGGCCCCGCACGGCTCCTGCAGGGGTGGCCCGGGAGGAGCCCGAAGCAGCCCGAGGAGCCCTTGGACGCTCGCTTCGCGAACCGCCTGGCCTTCGCGCTCCTTCCCCAGAGATCCAGCGTATTGAAAAAATCAAGACGGAGGTTTCTCTAAGTTTTTGGCCTCTGGGGGCCCTCGCCGGGCCCCGGGACCGTCAAAAAACGACTCAGGACGAAAAACCGGTCCTGGGGAATGGGTCGGGACTTCTTGGGACCCCGTATTGAAAAAATCACGACGTCGGATCTCTGGGTCTGTGCGTAGTTTGCCTATGGGTGCCTTTGGCACCAGCTCCACCAGGGATGGATGGAGTGCATCGTCGGGCCCGCGTTGGTCCCCATACCACGAGGTCGCCTCCCAAAGAGCCTGAGAACTTCAAGACACCCCTCAAGAGCGGCCAAGGCGCCACGAAGAAAGCCCCGGATGGCCCCGGCTGACCTCCAGGACGGCCCCAACAAGACGGCCCCGAGACGGCCTGGAAGACTGCCTCAGCGGCCCCAAACTTGCAAAGAGCAATGTCAAGACTCCTGGGAGTAACGAAAGCAATTCCCGATAATTACCCCGAATCGGAGCCCCCGAGAGCTCCAGAGCTCTCCAGCGAGGCCCAAACCAGGGCCGCAAGAGAACCCGAGCACGCCCCCCCGGGAGAGCCTCCGACGCCAGAGGATCCAAGCCCCACCACTGGCACACGCCCTCCGCTCTGCTGCGGGGCCCGCGATTGCGCTCGCTTCTTGTTTGGACTCGCGAGTTCGGGCGCTGCGCTCAGCCGCGCGCGCCCGGACCAGCAGCGCCCAGTCCGGCACCTTGGGCAGATGCGCTACCCGCCGCACCGCCGGGCGTGCAAGAAGCCGCCGGGCTGCCCCCCCCGTTGCGCAGGGGCAGGCCGCCCAGGGGCCAAGCCGCCTTCCCCCTGCGCTGCGCCGCGGGGCCCGCGGGTGTCCTTGCACACGCGTCGGCACGTGCGTGATCCGCGGCTGTGCACCCAGCTCCACGCTTGATGGGCCTCGTATTCCACTAGCGCCACCACAAGTTGGAGAGGGGGGAAGGAGAAGGAGGAGGAGGAGGAGGAGGAGGAGGAGGAGGAGGAGGAGGAGAGAGGAGGAGAGAGGAGGAGAGAGGAGGAGGAGGAGGAGGAGGAGGAGGAGGAGGATGTGAGAACCGAGGTATCCCCCTCCCCCCTTCCCAACCTGCTGTTGGGGTGGTGGTGGGTGGTGGGTGTTGGTGTGTGGCGGTGGTGGTCGGTGGTGGTGGTGGTGGTTGGTGGGGGTGGTGGAACACAGGCCCCACCAGCGCTCTCTCCGGCCTTCACAGGGCGTGCGGGCCGCGCCGTGCAGGCGCGGGTGCGCTCCGGGAGGCCAGAGGGGAGGCCCAGGGCTGGACCTAAACGGTGTTTAGACCTCCTCCTCTTCCTTTTCCTTTTCCTCACTCCTCCTGCCTCCTCCCTCCTTCCTCCCAAACCTCCACTCTCCTCCTCTACTCCTCCTTCGACTCCTCCCTCTCTCCGTTCCCTCCTCCATCTCTCTCCTCCGCCTCCTCCTCCTCCTCCTGCCTCCTCTCGTTCCTCACTCACTCCTTCCTCCTCCTCTCCCTTCCATGTCCTCTCCTCCTCCTCCTCCTTCCTCTCTCCTCCGTCCTCCTCCTCCTTGTCCTCGCTCTCTCCGGGTCTAACGGCAGGTAGGTAGTACGGAAACCTTACCGCCGAAGTTTCTCCATACCTCTCTGGTCCTCCTCAGCTCCTGTCCTCCTTCCCCTTCCTTCGTCTCCTTCTGTACTGTCCTCCTTTCCTCCTCTGCTTCCTCCTACCTCTAGTTTCGCGTGACCATGGCCTCCTTGCATCACAACTCTGCCTCATCCTCCTCCCTCCCTCCTCTCTCCTCCTCCTCCTCCTCCTTCTCACTCTCTCCCTCCTCCTCCTCCAGTCCATTTCCATGCACTCCTCCTCTTCCTCCCCCTCCTCCTTTAGATCTGCTTCCTCTTGTCCTTTCCGCCTCCCTCCTCCCTCCTTTTTCCTTTTTTTTTTCTTTTTCCTCCCTCCTCCCCTTTCCTCCTTATCCTTCCTGGCCTCGCTTTTTCCTTTTTCCCTTCTCATCCTTTCCCTTTTCTATCTCCCTTATCCCTCCTCCCTACCGTTATAGACTTTTGTCCTGGTGCCTTCCGGTTCCTTTCCTCCTTCCGTCTGTCCGGCCACTTCTGAAATACTTCAATCCTCCTCCTCCTCCTCCTCACCCCTCCTCCCTCCTCCTCCTCCTCCCGCTCCTCCTCCCTCCATCTCCCCTGCAGAATTTCCTCGTAGCTCCAGCACGAACCGTCCCATCGACCGACCGGCCTCTCCGCCGGGTGGGCACTCATGCGCGCCCCCCCCCACCCCAGGCTGCGCTCTACGCAGTACCGCGCCCCTTGGCGCGCACTGCGGTGTCTCGCCTTGGGCGGGGTGGTAATTGGAGGGGCGACCTACAGTCGTCGGCCATGCGCAGAGGGTGGCAGAGGGAGGGGGGAAGGCTTCTTAGAGGCACCCTTGCTTCTCAGAAAGCGCGGGCCCTCTCTATACATGTGAGGCAGGCGCCGTCTAAGAAGCAGGGCTGGACCCAGACGGTGTTTCTGGTGCTTTCGTGGGCCGTTCTCGTTTCGACTTCGTCTTGCAGCAGAGGCGGCTTGGAGACAAAGGCGAGGGACAACGAAAACAGCACGAAAACGAAGCGCACCGTGCAGGTTCGGCCCTGGGGAGGCCCACGCCGGCCCCCCAGCGGTGCGAGTCGGACCGCCGTGAGGGGTCGAGGTCGGTTCGGGGAGGGTGCCCTCGTGTTTTCTGTTTGTGCTCGTTGGACGTTCCCAGAGGTCCAGCGCATGGGAGACAAGAATCAAGGCGGAGGTTTTGCGCGCCATTTTCGGCCTCTATAGGGGCCCTCGCCAGGCCCCAGGACTGGCAAAAAACGACTCGCAATGAATTGCTCACTGCGTGGAGCTCCCCATATGTGCATCTCATGTTTTATGTCATGCCGTGGTGAGCGTCTGTTCATGAGCGGTCGACTACAATAGCGCGTCCACGTGGGCGACAGGGCCGACGAAGACGAGTGAGCCCTAATGCGAGTGATTGCGTATGAGTCAGAGTGAGCTTTGAGTATGGTTGAATGCGAGCCTCTTCCTCTTCATCCCCCCTCCTCAGCTGCCAGGCCTTCCCCTTTTTCAGCCCGTGGTAGCTTTGGAGCTTCCCACATGTGCATATGTTGTAGGATAGTTGGCAGTGGGATATGTAAGAGCGAAGGATGTTGGGCCCAGAAACAAGCAAACCGCTTGAGACATCCCCACAAAATGGCCGCGAACGAGCCCGTGCAACCACCCCTGGCGGCTCCCCCTTAGGGGTGCTGAAACCAGCGCCCCGCCTGAGACATCCTCACAATCTGTTCTCCAAGCGAAGGATGTTGGGCCCAGAAACAAGCAAACCGCCTGAGACATCCCCACAAAATGGCCGCGAACGAGACCGTGCAACCACCCCTGGCGGCTCCCCTTAGGGGTGCTGAAACCAGCGCCCCGCCTGAGACATCCTCACAATCTGCTCTCCAACCGAAGGATGTTGGGCCCAGAAACAAGCAATCCGCCTGAGACATCCCAACAAAATGGC